GGACCGATGAACAAAGGAAATCGACCCGGTAGGACAGAAATGGCCTCAATTTTAAAATGGGCCACAGCAAAAAACAATAGGCTCCGAGGATAGCGAACGGATTCCCATGAAAATCCACACGAAGCTTCTTGAGAGACTTCTTAAGAGATCTATCAGAGGAATTTTTTAATTTCGGCTTCGTTGTCGAGCAATGTCCGTCAACCTCGAGTGATTTCCAAAAAAATGGCATTTTCCCTTGGATCGTCGAACTTTGAGAGCGAACGGTTGGAGGAAACTATGCGCAACTCCGCCAAAAGATGGATCAGGATAGCCTCCAAAAAGTGCAGCATGCTTTTGTCGATAGAAAATTTCTACGAGAAATGAGAGCGAAAAAACAGAATCCGAAAACGGAAATTTTCTCAGTTATGGCGCCGTGGCGTCTCGATAATGATAGTTACATGCATGTATTTATTTTTCCTGTTAGCGCGATATCTTCCAAGGAGAATGGCACGAATTTGACGTTTCTGCGTTGGGGAGATACACATTTTCAAAGAGATGCATGTAAATTGTGACCTTTGACCTCAAATCATGGCCCCGGGCGTGACCGCAGAGAGTCAGCAATCGGCTCCAAGGCCCTTTCTTGAGGTCCCTTACAACAATTATAAAGCGGAATTTCGATCCAGGGGGGTCGATTTTCATCTTCCCATAGTACCTTAATTCGAAGAGCCCGAGAAGATGTAGTGGTTGTTAGCCCAGTGCGCGAGGCCTACAAGTCTGTCACTTCAGGCCAAAGGCTAGGCCATCAGCCTCTCAAAGCGCCAGGTCCTTCAGGCTATGTTATTCTAGGCGTTAGGCTTGGCCATCCAACGCTTTTAGCGCCAGGTCTATCGAGCTATATCAGTCTGAGCCATAGGCTTCATATTTAGCTATGTCAATCAAAGGGTGGTAACAACTGAATGCATGTCACGTTTTATTTTTTTTTCCCGTTCGGTCAGGCGTGGCGATTCGGGACATCGCTTCCATGGAATAGTTTTCTGTTTGCGTTTCATGTCATGGCCGGTTTATTTGAGTTCTCACGATTGATGAAATCAAAATAATAACGTAAGTTCTCTGTTTCATACGTCGCGCAAACGGGCCACTCCTCCCATCAAGATTATCTAAATCTAAATCGGTGCTAGCCGTAATGGCTAGAATCAGTGATGAACAGCAAGCAGATGTGCGTAGGGCCGCTGAGACCGCCGAACAGTAAGAGAATATTCCGGAGCTCAGCGAATGCGGAATAAGAGAGCCGTGCATCCTGCTGAGCAACTTGATGCAAGGAACTCAGGTGTCGAAAGCCGGGGGGCGGCCTAGAATTGAGCCCGGTCCTCCTGCTTGCCGGTCAGGTGTGCTACCATTACACCATGGAATTCGGGACATTTTGTCAGGTCTCTCCAAGTCATCACAAATCACTACAGTCGTTGGCGCAGCAAGCACTGTCAGGCTGTACATTTTGATATAGGGAAGAGGCATTCGTTTCACAACGGAAAAATGCTCCTGCTGCAACTCACACTTTAACACCAGTGCGCAACACTTTCACAGCCGCGGGGTAATATGGTGGCGAGGCATTTTCTGGAATTAGTCGCTTGCATTGTGCCGCACATGTACCAAATTCCCTTTGTGCCTTCGAACAAGTTCTTGGAAATGGTCCGTACTGTTTCAGAATCATTGTTGTCTGTACTATATGCTAACGCTAATAGCACATGAGCTAATCGGTGATGCAAGAGTATTGAATGTGCTAGAGAGACGAAATCAGCAAAGTCGTCTTGAGTCTCATGAAAACGTGCTAAACCGTTCACAATGAACGATTGTGGCAATCAGCTGGAATATCATGATGATGGTGTTTAGGAACAGAATTTCCCTGTGTACTGTAAGCTATAAGTGTATACATGTAATGAAGCGGTTCAGTTCCGAATGGGTAATGAGGTGAACAGAGGATTGTGAAGGAGACGTTATGCTTACAATAGACGGTTCAAATTTCCACCTATTAGACGGCCAACTTAGCGGCCGCAGGCCGCTGGTATCGCTTTAAATTAGTGCGATGTGTCTACTTACAAAATCACTCTATTCTATAGACCAGTCGTACATACCATGTAAATACACTTATAGATACTTGTGCCATGATTTGATATTTGATATTCTTGTGTGTTTCCGAGTCCTCGCAAGAGGCGTTGAACAGGAAAGCCTGAAATCGATCCATGTTCTTCTACTGCTCAGATAATCCTTATCTTTCTCCTCCACCTTATCTGACTTCAGACGTAGCCACTTGAATTCCGTGTTTGTTTTCTACCATTAAGATTTTTCCTATAATATCCCCTGTTTACTCATCTAAGTTTAAGAACCTGTTTTCAGGCAATATAGACATTAAAAGGAAACCATACCCACCACTACTGCTGAATTTCAAAAAACCATTCAACTTCGCGCTGCCCATTGAAAGGGGAGCATCAATGTCTCATGCTTATGAGTCTAGACTCCTTCACTAATAGAACCAAATTACCATTGAAACCGACATCCTCTCTCGAGCAAATTGGTTTACGCTACAGCGTAGAATGAGTGCCGCTAGTGTCCTTGATTTTTATGCCTGTTGATACCCCTTAAGATGATATCGAGATTTATGTACTGTGGAATGAAGTCAAGAAATTTATTGTTTTCCGGATTCTAGATTCTTAAAGCAGCCCTTGCAAAATTGATGGAGCTGATCTCAAGAGAGAGGAAATAAGTACTTCAAATATCGTTGTATGTGAAGATGGCAAAGTACCTGTAATAGAATAGTTTGACAAGGAACTAGTTTTCCTTGCCTCTTAAGTTAATAGCGTAGTCAACGAGTCATTGCAAGCGTTAGTCCAAAGCAAATAATATAACACTGAAATTCCTCGTCCTCATGTCGTGAAAGCATATATCTCCAAGTTAGGTAGTCTGGATCATGCTGACAAAAGACAAGTCACCATCAAGGACAATAGCAATAAACGGGCCAAAGAACAATCTTTCATTTCTTTGAGCTGTCTGCATCTAACTCCTGGATCGAATATCAAAGATACGGGGTGAGTGTTGCAAATGTCGGCACTCTAAGCAAATTTTTCACACTCTCCTTGCCTCGTGGTTTTTGCAATGCAGCTTCCTCGTTCACAAATTGTTGGGTCATACCTTTATTATAAACCTCCTTGAACCATACACCTTGAGTTCCCTAGGCCTTTCCTTTCCGAGGGTCTGAGTCAAAGATGAAGTTAAGTCAGATGTTGACAATCTCGGCACTCTGCTCGAATCCCATTCATTGACAGGGTCGCAATTTAGATGTTGCTGTCGATCCTACACCTAGCGTGCCCATATCAAGAACTTCTTCATGACCGAGGAGCGGACTCGGAACGAGACACGCGTGTTACGTTAAGTTGATCCCTTTGGGTGGAATTCCCGAATGAGTCGATTCCCGATTCCCGATTCCCTGTCACGAAGCACGCCTCAAGGAAGTATTTCCTTGATAACAAGCCGCCTGATGTCTCCGTAATATCTCGACCCCCACCTCCCCTTACCCCTAAGAGTGTCGTCCCTAGTTGCACTCTTTATTCTATGCTCCGGAAGACCTTGTCCGATAAAAACTTGAGTGGTCATATCATTTTACACGCCCGAACCTACCCCTGGAGGGTAACCAGACGCAGTCTCTACAATCGAAAGCAACTGACCACCATCATCCTCATCTCATGAAGTGAAGCCTCAATTTGATCCGTGGCTCATCCACGAAAAACAGGAGTCTCTTTGGACTGCTTAGCCTGATTAAACTCATGATTGGAAAAAATTATATTGTCTTCCCTTACGTTCTCTGCAGGAAAAGATCAAGTACCGTATGAAAGGTCCTCGGGTCTCATTAAAAAATCGATCCCCTATCTATAGGGACTGTAAGGAACTGTAGACTGCAGCTGGAATGAAATTCGGAGTGCTACAGTGTATGCATGCTCCTAGTGTGGTGTAACTCTCCATCCTGGCGCTTGTTTTGCGAAACATCACACGCTCTGACATTACTAAAGATATATTGGTATTTTTATTTCTGTCTCTTTAAAGGTTGACGAGAAATGCATTTATTAAAATGAAGTAATGCAAAAAACGTCTCTATTTACTGAAAAAGTACTAATAAGGGCAATTATACTACAAAAGGGCCTTCAACGTAACTTCCTTCCTTGGATAGCAGTTTAGTACTTAAATGGCATAACTCATTCTGCCCAGCAAAGGAGTTACATGCCTGGCATCGCCTCCAGATTCATCGCTCATGCAGGAGGAGAGCCAGACACGCCTTCCCAGTCCGATTAGCACGATTAGCATTCTCGAAAGAGATATCAGAGCCAAAGTTACTGTGCCATGATGCCAGGTAGGCAAAATCGGCATGTCTCCTTAGACCTCCAGGCCAGAGGTGTCCTGCTGGGTTACCTTTTTTAACGGGCCGATCTAGGAATTCAAAAGCTGAAGCTCGCGCCGCATGACAGATGCACACTGGAGTTGTAACGTTACATAGCATCCATTTTTAAAGCGGGGAAACGGAATGTCAATAAAGGCAACCTCGGTTATAACGACAATTTTTCCCTGGTCTCTTCAATGACATCACAAACGAGTTCGAGTAGATTCAGAAACGCCGATGTGTCGCTTACCCGGACTCCGTGTCTCTTTTGCGGTGTCGCATGCCTTCCAATGATGATAAGGACGATCTTGAGAATAAGTGTACCAAATAATGACTCGCAGACGTAATGATTCATTATAGTTCCAGGAACTAGGTTTCCACTCATTTCGATGCAAAAATCCTCATTTGCTTTTGAAGAGGCAATTCCGAAGACCAGAACTTCCAAATGAGGGAAGTTGTGAAAAGAAAAGTCTGCACCCATAAAATTCTAGTTATTTCGAGCCAGTGAGTTCAGAAAGCAATTCGAATAAAGAACGCAAACAGGAATTCCATTAATGAATCGGAAATCTCGTTTCCAAGTCCTGATGGAAATTTCGTCTCGGAGGAGAAAGTGGGAAATTTATTTCTCAGCTGGTTACAAATATGAACAGAGAACACCCGACGATAAGGCCGGAATTCCGTTTACAGCACCTTTCACATATATTTATTCCAGTCTTTTCTCAGGATTTTCCTCGAGAGAAAATGTTCCCTATCACGTTTCTTTTTGCATATCGAAGCTCATTCTCTCTCTGCCATCCTCACTACCATCCAGTCCTTCTTCGATTCCCTTCATCCGAGCAATTCCAATAGGATCCCAAATCAAAGACGAGGGTGAAATTTTGGAACTGATGCGCATGACGAGGATCAGGGGCCACTTCCCTTGCCATATCTATTCTCCGTGTTCTCTGTAGATCCTCTAGTGCATACGTAGATAACAAGTGCCTCATAGACCACGAAAACCAGCACACTGCAAATTACAGCCAAGAGAAAACTTTCACTGAATATCCCGAGGATGAGGCCGATACCGACGGCGAGGCCGATCCCTCCAAAAGCCAGCAAAACACGCTTCTTTGGACTGTTAAAATAGAAAAAGTGCATCGATCAGTCAATATCAATCAACAGCAGTTAAGTCTACCGAGTGATGGAGAGTCACACCTCATTTTTATATCCATACATTTTTTTCAAACAAAAAGAAATTTCTTTCCGCCGGTGTCTGAAAGCTTTTTAAATTCAGTTTTTCGCCATAGGTCTTGTAATCTTATGGTAAAAGATGGCATTTGACTGTTTCTGACTGCGCTAAAATTGCAGCGTGGAAAAAATTTTAGGGGTCTAAGGGTTCAGAGATGGAATCAAAACCATAAGTATGAAACCCTCGATCCCAAGAGAATTGAAAAGTGTCAAAACAAGTCCAGGGGAACGACTTCGGCGAGAGATGTGGGCCGGAATGGGCGACCTCCGACCGCCCGGACTCGAGAAATCTCGCAGGTGGAAGAAGTGATTTCATGCACCCCGGAGATTAATTATAAATTTGAGGAAAATTTCACGAGAATGGTTTTCAAATGCTGCACTATAAACGTTTCTATTCTTATTGGAACAAAACAAAACTTAAATTTAAAAAATTGGGATATAAAAATCATCCTAGTGAAGCTCGTCTATTTCGTCCATATCTTTCACTAAAGCAGTTGTCATCGACTTGTTTTTCTTTATTCTCTTTGCATGAAAGGTTTTTTTAATTATGATTTTTACGCGTGGTACCGTCTCTAAACTTGCACCATAGACACCCAAACCTCATTCTATTAATACATTACAATTTTTGGCGCAGTCACAAACTGTCAATTGCCACGCCATCTCTCATCAAAAAATCGCAACGCCCATGAAAAAAAATTAATAAACAAGGCTTTCAAATACCGTAGGAAAGAATCATTGTTAGAACAAAAGTCATGAAACTATAAAATTAAAGAGCGATTTTCCAATCACCCTGTACATATTACGTCGACTTCAGGTTCGACATTTTCACTTTTCACTGTGAAATATACCTGTACCACGTTCGAACTTAGATTCCATTCATCGATAAATATCCATATCCCTAAATATTGGCAGGGGAGATGAAACGAAGGAAACACATCGGAGTATGCAGGACTTCAATGACTTTGTAAACCAACCGAACATTTGGGACATTTGGAAAACTAACCTCATGCGGGAAATCCTATAGCGGTAAGTGGCATCGTCGGGCTTCGGGGTCACCAAGGGGTTAGTCTCACTATCATCGTCTTCCGGTTTTTCTTCCTGGATAGGAGTATGGCGGACCTGAATGGGCTGATTCCCCTGGATGGCTTTGTTGAATCTCTCGAAACTTTCCGTCGTTTTCTTCAGCATTATTTTATTAATGGGACGAGAAGTTGCTTTCTTTCCCGTTTCATTTTCGTCGTCGTCGTCGGATCCATCCTCTTCTCCTTCCTTCTTGGCGAAGTAGGAAGAGCTATTCGCGGGAAAGTACTCCCCGGATTTCAGTTCGGCCTCGTTCGTGGAGTCTAGGTCCGGGAAGCGTTTGCTGTCTGCGAATATGCAAAACAGATAGGAAATGCGGACTGTATCACCTGCGAAGACTAGGGACATGTTCTTCATCAGCATATTCTGCTCCACCGTCAGCTTCTCCTGTTTACGAAGACATGGTGGATGACGGCGATGAATGTTTTGGGAAGAACGGAAGAGAATTCAAGAAATGGTTCTTTTAACATATCAAACGAAAATGTTATTAATGGAATTATTAATTCCGGTTCTAACTGTTTGCAAATATTCAAAATCACATATTTAAAAATTTTCCTACTCTGTCGCCAATGAAAGAACGAAATCTTATCTAAGTTCATGTTAACATCCTCAGGAACAAATTACTCATTTGCATGACATTGTAGCTATTGCTCAAGAGCGAGGAATTAACTAGTTACAATGACATCTGATTGCATCTTTTTTTTTGGGGGGGGGGGGGGGGGGGGGGCCCCCCCAAAAGAAAAAAAAAAAAAAGGGGGGTTGGTGGGGGGGGGGGGGGGGGGGGGGGAGGTCTCACCTAAAGGACATAAAGAAAAGAGGGAGTTTACATTAAAAAGGTTCTTCTTCTTAGCTCTTTGAGAAATGCCTAAGGAAAAACGGGCACGACATTGCACTTTCATCAGCGTGGACACTTTTGAATATAGAGGAGAAATAATAGCTTCCTACGCGCATTCAGAGTGTTTCAGAGTTGAATTTGAAAGTCCTTTGAGAGGATAAAGAGATAAGAAGCAACCTGCGGATCTTTAAGGACTTGAACGATGGCGTGGATGCCTAGCCGATGGTTCGAGTGGATGTATTTTCGGATGTCTTCCATCAACTTCCGGTCCTCCTTGGGCGTCCCCTTTTGGAAGCCCGGCGTATCGATGAAGGTGATGGGACGGGGAAACCTTTGCTTGTCCCTGGTGATGAAGGTGTGCGATGTGATCAGGTTCGTGGGTCCTCCCTCTTTCACTTGGAATCTATATGGATCCCCATACTCCACTCCCAGTACGTAGTTTCCCATGGCTTCCAACAACAACGATTTCCCTGCAAGGAAGAAGAATGCAGATATTTTCGAGCCACGCCTAGCAATTTCATCGGACGAAAAAGTGGTCTCCCATGACACAAAGGTTAACCTGATCCGGTCGGGCCGATGAAGAGGATATTAAGACATTGTTGTTTGTCTTCTTGATCCTCTCCCAAACGGAATCTACGAGTTGTATTTGGGATGACCTGGAACGGAAGAAGAAAGGTCGGCAGGTCCTTCCCTCCGATCGGAGTCTTGTCTCTTCTCAACTCTTCAAGCCAATTTTTTTTCATCCTTATCTTGATCCTAGAAAGTGTATAATCGAGGAGTCCATAATTCCAATGTTTATTTCTCGCAAATTGAGAGTCTCACAGAGATAAGGCATATCTGCATCATGTTGTCATCTCAGACTCCCAAACGATGTTGAGAAACAATAATTAAACGGCCATCGTCATAGGCTAATGGTGAATCACGATGAAGTGAAATTTAAGAAAGGTAAGTAATGGTGCCTTCCTGTTTGCAGTCCTGTTTCGGGACGACAATTACCAGTCCTGCAAGAGAGCTTTTCAGGGAAACAGGAAATGCCAAATAATAATTGAATTGCCTGTTGCCGCAGAATTCGGACCTGTCTAGCTCTGGAAACTGTTTTTTTTTTTCAAAAGGTTAGGAAGCGAGTATTATGTGAACACTTATTTTATGTGATGCCCCTTCCCCCCTCAAAATATATGAAGCCCACAGAAAACGTAACAGAAGACAGAGTTCAATTTTCGAGAGAATATTAAGAGGGGGAGAACATATTCACCATAATGATCTTCATTGCTGCATTACATTTCCCTCCCTGGGTGTGAAGGAGGAATGTTTAGGATTAAAGCCCGATGCAGGCGATGTCCCCCCCCCCCCCCCCCCCCCCCCCCCCCCCC